ATTACTAAAACATTACTTCTGTCAAAAACTCTAAAACATTACATCAATTCGCAACTACTCTGAAAGAAAGGTCTCAGCACAATCGCTTAATTTCTTACGCGCAGGGCTACCTTGTTAGCCACTCACATACTGTTCTAAATGCAATGTTCTCATGCACTGCTCACGCTAAATCGCATCAGTAAACTTCTAGATTTTACGCTGTTGTGCAGATAATTGCTTTTCGAATTCACGATGCCACCCTTCAATTGAATTGTTTCTCTTCGGAAGGCGATGTCCCACTCCTATGTGACAGTTCCACATTTCTAGGGAGAAGCAGGGCATTCGATGTCCCATATGTTGTTGAGGACGTCCAATCCAGCGGTCCTCAAATTATTCAGTCATACGTTGTGCTTCTTCGTTTCGAACCTTCTTTGAAGATTTTCTGCCTGAATCCTTGGAATATACACTGCGAGAAACGCAAGAAACATTCATGCCCAGCCGTTGGAAATTCTTTACGAATAGCACTGACTGCGGCAAGTTCGAATTTGGCCATAACTGTTTCTGGGAATCATCAGCTTGAACCTGTTTTACTCGCTGTTGTAACCCAACATATGTGGCATCTGTCTTGTCTGCTGGTAGAGCATACAAATGGAGAATTGAACTTTCACCTGAATAGCATACGGTGTGTAGAGTTGGTAAAACAAATGAGGTACAGTTTTAAAAGTTCCGTTCTTAAACCAGTGTTCAGATGAGGCCAGTAACCGGAGATTTCTTGCGGTAGAAAATAGAACAATTCTATCTTCCGTCGGTCCTGAATCAAACAACAAAAACGGTTCACTTTCTTTGGTTATCTTGTACTCATCGGGAAATACAATTTCCTCTCGGGTTATAGGCAAACCTGGTGCTGCTTGTTTTCTTATTCTGATGTTTCGGATCGTTGTTTTAATGCTGTCGTTCTTCGCATCCCCAATATGGTTGTGAACTCCTTTCACGGCTTCAGCTTCAGTGGCATCTCCAACTGTTATTACAGGAACCTGGAAATTGTGCCTCTGATACATCACTTCTCACAGTACCAGTATGTCTCTTGAGCTTGTTTTTCTTTGAAAAATGAGTGACCATCCACTACAAGTTTTTTTCTTCCCCTTCACTCGTGACGAACTGAAGGGCCATGATGGTTAATGAAGATTCGTAACTGAAGTATCACGAAGAACTTTCTGAAACTGACCTCTTTTAATTTTCTGAGGCTTTACATAAAGATGAAGCTTGGTAATTATTGTACTCATTAATTAGTCTTTCAAGCATGTTATTTCTAAATAAATGCATTAGATAAAATTTATTTTTGTGTGAGTAGGTAATATTATGTTAATTATTCTTCTCATTGACATAATCTTTCAAATATGCCATTTCTATAAAACACTATTTTATGATCGTCATAAATAAATCATCGGCAATCAATTGTAAAGTCGGTGAATTTCCGTTCGACGAATTGCTGGTCGGTGATTTTTCCAGTCGGTGAATTGTTGTCGGTAAACTCACCGTCGGTGGAATTTCCGGATACCGGCACGTCGACACGTGATTCAAACAGCTTCGTGTAGAATTTTGTACATAGTTCTTCCATATCTGTTCGGTCCGTGATTCGACATCTATCCTTATTTTTCAGTGACGCTACTATCCGATGGTGTAACATCAATTCCTTTCTGCATTTTTTCAAGATTTGTTTTTTTTGAACAGCAATTATTTGCCTTGGACGACTGTAGTCTTCGAGGTCCTCCTTCAGCTTCTTACGAATTAACCTGTACAGAAGATTGTACTGTATACTCCTGATTTTATCCTTCTTCATGGCTCTTCTCTCATCTAGCGATTCTTTTATCACCTCTGAGACCCTCGAATCTAGTCGTCGAGGTTGAGCATGTTCGGCTCTTTTTACCACTGAAGAAGTTTCTCAGTGAAATTTTGGTAATCTTGTTCAATGCTCGCCGTCATAGTCCATCAGTAGTTTCGACTTGCCGATCCCTCTCTGCTTCGTCGATCTCCGTGGTCCTTTTACGCTGATACGGTACATACTCTGCCCTTCGTTTGACAGCCGGAATAATGTGTATTCTTGCCCGCAGCATGCGATGATCGCTTCCTGCGTTGAACGAAGGTAGCACGGAAACACCTTCAAAATGCGACCAAAATATAACCGATTTCATTTTTCGCAACTGCGTGTAATCTATGTCCATCTTAGTCCCACCTTTTACCAGAACCTGGTGTTACCGACCAACAGTTTGTTGGCCTCTGCTATCCCTACCATTCTATCACCCTTGTTGTTTCGCTCTCCTATACTAAACCTGCCAATTCGTTTCTCCCCCACTTTCCCTCCTCGACCGAGTTTTGCGTTGATGTCGCCAATCACAGTCGTATTGGTGGACTTGACGGTTATAGTTGATTCGAGCTCCACATAAATTGTACAACCTCATCGTCGTCGATGGCCTCCTCATAGCGGAGGCATGAGCTTGCATGATTTTGAGGGTCTTATTGGAATCTAGCCGTAGAAGGAGCACACCGACCCGCGATGAACTAAAGCGGCAGGAAATGATTCACAGAGACTACTTCTTGTTCACGATAAACCCGATTCCGTATATC